AAGTCCTCAAAAGTGACCTGAAGCCCGACCGGCTATCAACGTCGTAAAAGGTTATCTGAAATCAAACGGCTAAGTCCTAAAAATTGATCTGAAGCCCGAACGGCTACCAACTTACGAAGAAGCCCAGGTGCGAAGAAAACCAAGGAAACAGCTGTCCTAAGAATTGATCTGAAGCTCGACCGGCTATCAACGTTGTAAAAGATTATCTGAAGCCAGAATGTGCTAAGTCCTAAAAAATGATCTGAAGCCCGAACGGCTGAGTCCCAGAGAGAAGGGGTTTTTTCCTTAATAAATTATCAGAACCTTCCAATGCCCGAACGGCGATCAACGGCATAGGAAGTATTAAAAAAAAGAAATAAAGTCAGGAAATTGGTTAAGTCATACAGAACGGGCCGAATCCCGAATGGCGAGTAAATCATTCAATAAAGGCAAGAAAGACGGTACACAAAGCTTCATGCAAAAAAGAGATATGTATTCATCGGTTCTACTGACCGGGAAGTACAAGCTACTTAAAGAAAAGAAAATTACAACGATTAATTAAAAAGTACATATAGATTATTGGCCAGGGGTCATTTCCTCTCCCTCTTCATCCTCGTCCTCATCATCATCGGACGGGGGTTCAGGCTCCCTCCCAGCAGTCCGATCAGCTTCCCGTTTCTGATCTCGCTGAAATTTCTCAAATTGGGCTTGTATGATATCATCCTGGGGAAGATCAGAAGCCTGAACCGGCCTCCCCAGATTATTCTGAAGTTGAGCGACAAAGGGACGCAGCAGGACCTGGCCGATCTTTGCATATAAATCTGTAACGATGGAGTCATTCCATTTCTTGGCCTCAGGATCCTTGTCCAACAGAGCCACCCCTGCCGAGAGCCGATCAACACCTTTAGGGAAACCTTTCAAGTACGCTCCAAAGGCGAACGGGATTTGGGTCCTTGCGTGATCATCCTTGATGATGGAGAATTCATCAGAGGATTTAAATGTTTCCCGGACGGCGGACAGATCTACATTCACTTCATAGGGGGGCCGTCCGGGATGCTGGAGGGCATTTCCTCAAACTTGACCTGTGCGGCCTCGGCACCAAGAACCTTTGCCTGGGAAGCTGCAAGTTGGACCCGAAGGGTACCGAGCTCAGCATCCAGCCTCTGTTTCTCCTCCACACAGGCCTTCCGTTCGGCCTCCAGAGAGGTGATGGCGACGGCAGCGTTTTGCTCAGCAGAAGATTGAGCAACAATCAGTTCTCGTTCCTTGGCCAGACGGGCTTCCCGCATTTGCAGGGTGTACAAACACATCTACAGAGCACCGTTCGAGAGTTAGTACTGATTACAGAGAATGAAATGAAAACAGAGCACAAAAGATAATGTACCTTCAGAGCGGTCAAGGCCAAGCATTCTTCAGATTGCTCGACCGACAACTGAGGAAGGGAAAAATTGTTGAACCAAGAGGAGGTCGACCAGATCTGGCTTGCGGTAGAACCAGCCCTTTCTAATACCTCGTGAACAGGATCAGATAAGGAGATCCGCTCGACCTGACCAGTAATATGGTCGGTATGGGTCTCACCTGCATTCGAGGGTTCCCCCTGAACGGAGTCGAAGTGCTGGGAGAACTGATGCAGTTGGTCAGAGCCGAACCGATCGTCGACCAGCATGGCATCGAATTGGTCCTGATGGACCTGCTATATCGGCTGTGGCTCTGGAAGCGGTTGAAAAGAGGCAGCATCCTGAGCAGGAACAATGGAGGGAGTAGGTTGGGGGTTCTTCCTGACCTTTTTTCGTTTATCGGCCCCACCGGCTGCCATAACTCTGCTATCGTCCATGGGTAGATCTGGGTTGGGTGCTGAAAAGAGACAAAGGGCAATGTTAGTATCGAGCGGCCTTAGCGTGTGAGAAACTAGAAAAAAGAACAAAAGAACGTTTCTCGCACGGGAAGGATCGCCCGGACCATGGCACTTGGTTTCTCAAAACAAGTAAACCCAAGAGAACGGGCAGTACCTATCCCGGCTGTAACAAGTCGATCGGGAGTCAGATAACTCATGATGTCCATGCATTTATCCTTCTCCACAGCAAGCACGTCCTTGTAAATTTCTTCCGTAAGGACAGGATCAGGAGTCTTACGGGGGGAAGGCATTCCATTTGCGGGGAATTAGGCCGTCCAGGACAGACACGAAGAAAAATCGGTCTTTCCACCCTTTGATTGAAGTTGGGTTTCCCTTGAACAGGATGTGTCCCGTTCGGGCACTAGTGGCCAGATAGCCGTGGGTTTGTTGGGGGGCTACCTTGAAAAATTGGTGGAAGAGTTCTAGGGTTGGTCGGGCGCCGGCATCTTTACAACGGCGAATAAAACCCGCCATTGCCCGATAGGAGTTCGGCATAATTTGGGCCGGTACAACTTCGTAGAAATTGAAGAATGAAATGTAAAAGGGGTGTAGCGGAAACCTAAGGTCGGCCCTAATTGAGTCAAAATGAACTATGGTCATTCCGGGCCTATGACGCATTGGGTGAAGCCCAGCTTGCAAACGGAAATCCACCGGGTCAGGGATAAGGGCCGGAATTTCGGCCCTATTATGGGAGGTCAGTTTTTGCCGCCTCTCCCTAATCAATTTTAGGTCAAGGGTATGGCGAGGGAAATCGTTGGGACGTCCGGCCGCCATGGAGGCTATTTCGTCCTCGGATTTGGTGTCGTCGGAATCTTCAGTGGAGGAAGAAGAAGTGCTAGGAAGGTCCTCCGCCTCAGCCCTGGTATTCGTCGCCGTTTCAGTAGAACCACCGGCAAACGGGACTGTGATGACGTCCACAATAGCGGCGTCACGGTCATCTCCATGGGAGGCCATCTCCGAATCAGAGGAATGCTGTTTGAGGCTCATCTCGGTCGAGCCAAAAATGAAGATAAGGAATCCGGATTTGAGAAGTTACCTGAGCGATGGAAGCTGGGAGAAGATTGCAGGGGAATCAACAAGGCGCAGAGAATTGCAGAATCGAAACCCGGAATTGAGAAGTTAAAGGCTAATTTATAGCCTTGAAACCGCCGTGTCAAGAACCGATCAGGGAGCGACACGTCACTAGGAGCATTTAAGCTAAAACACGTGTCTAATGAAAAGACTAAACGACGGTTACCATGATGAATATGGGGAAATGAAGCGGCAGCCGTCAAATCACAGCATGGGGAACTGATTACTTCTGTACCCCGATCGCCATTCGGCGGATTGCAACATCGGTATTCATACTTCCTAATGCACTCACTGTTGTTCGAGACATCGGAAGTGGGGGACTTGTGTTGGGATATTGATCCAGATGCCCAATACCCGGATCAGGAAGGCCCAAGATACCCGGCCCAAGCAACGGGCCCATCAATCTATGATGAATGGATCCACTAAAGAATTCATGCCGAACGAGATTCGGGCTATATATTATACTTGGGCCAATTTGCCAGCATATTCAGCGTAGCCCAGCATCCCGTTCGGGCAACGGCCAAACAGCAAGTGGCCAGGTGCAATTAATGCCAGACTGTGACATCAGCAAGTGGAAGTATGGATGACCAAGTCGGTGGAACAACGGCCAATCAGCATAGGGCAGTCCATGCTCTCCATTAGTATAAATAGAAGGTTTCAAATCATTGTAAGGGTTAGCATTTCAATACTCAGGCCTTAAAATAGCATCATTGCTCTTATTTCTTGTATTAAAGCATTGTTTTCGACCTACCGATCGTGAATTTCCTTGTAATCAGACTGGTTAATTAATACAAGTGGGCTTTCGAGTATTAGTGAGTTCAGATTTTATATTTTGTTTATACGCTTTGATTCTGGGTCATTCCTGATATATCCAAAGTTCGTGTTGGGCTTTCGGATCTACGGAATTTACTTTCAACAATAGTATTATATTACTTATATTTGTTATCTAATTATATATTACTTATATATTTATTATATCTATTAATATAGTTGGAATTATATCTAATTAATTTGAAGTGATTCTATTACTCCCATCCGATTATCCGAAAGACCGAAAGTCCGAAAGAGGTACGAAATTATTCTATTATTTACACTTGTTTAATTTTGTATTAACGTTATTTGAAAAAAAAATAGTTAATTCACTAGTTGATTTGCTATAACTCGAATTAATAGTTAGATAAATAGTTAATTAATTTTTACAATTTTTTATTAATTGCTACTTTTGACTCTAGTTTAAAAAATATGTTGTACACAAAACTAGTTAATTCACTAGTTAATTTGCTAGAACTCGAATTAATAGTTAGATAAATAGTTAATTACTTTTTTACAATTTTTATTAATTGCTACATTTGACTCTAGTTTAAAAAATATGTTGTACACAAAACTAGTTAATTCACTAATTAATTTGCTATAACTCGAATTAATAGTTAGATAAATAGTTAATTACTTTTTTACAATTTTTTATTAATTGCTACATTTGACTCTAGTTTAAAAAATATGTTGTACACAAAACTAGTTAATTCACTAGTTAATTTGCTATAACTCGAATTAATAGTTAAATAAATTGTTAATTACTTTTTTACAATTTTTTATTAATCGTTACATTTTTTAGATGGATCGTCCAAGATACTCTCAAAATTTGATATTCTTTAAACTTTTCACTTCAATGTTTCATTGCCAATTTGTCATAGTAATTCAAAAATCAGAACCACTGTGCAATTAGTTATAGCATCTTAGGCATTTGACTGTAAAATTGAAATTTGAAAACACTTGGGTCCGGGCCGGTTCAAGGTAAATTTGTTTTTTTTTTTGCTTTCTAATTAAATCCCGACCCCCCCCCCCAACCCCAAACCCCCCCAAAACACCCAGCCCTAACCAAGAAAACAAAAAAATTGAAAAAACCAAAAAAAAAACAGCCCGACCCGGTTAGCACCAACCGGGGTAGTCCAAGCCCGCAGATTTGCAGGCCGGGCCGGTTCCGGAACAAGAACCGGTCAGGTCCATCCCTATTGGCACGTGACAATTTCATAATTGCAGTATTGATGTCGTTGGCTAGTGTTGAACTGTTGAAGTATATCAATAAAATTAGGCAATTCGCCAAATCAATATTTAATCTCACAATTTTTTTCGCAGATCAATAAAAAGGGAAGGCAATGGTTGTTTTTGGTAAATAAATGAAGAACATTATAAAAGAAAAAACACTACAAATAAAATCGATACCGTTAAAAACAAATACAGAATGACAGGAAGAAACTACGTGATTATCAATCTTTCTTAACATGGAGTAAATTAAACAAACAGACAAACACACAAGAGTAATGTTGAATAAACTTGTCCAGTCAAAGCCTCAAGCTAATTCTGTTAAGAATCCATGAGGCCCATCATGCTGAAGTGACTAGGCATTCATATGAGGAGCTTCTCAATGGCATTCTGGCAGCACAAAAGAATAAAAAAATAATTTTGTCACTTATTAACACGGAGCAAACCAGAAATTGGACAAGTAGTTTGCAGCTTTAGATATACCTTAAGTTCAGTTATTTGAGCTTTCAACTGGCTTCCCTCATTACTTGTAACTGAACAAGCAATCACTGGTCGAGTAACACCACAAGCTCGGCCAAGTGCTTCTTTGGATTTAACAAAGACATAGGGGACATTCTGAGAGCAGGGCACAGAAAAGAATAGCTTAAAGACTTAAAACAGATTGGAATGATGCATTTTGAAATAGTAATCTAAAAGTAGAAAAGCCCAATTAGCGCTACAAGTGTTACATGGGGCAGTAAATCCTGAAAAAAAAAAGATGTTGGAAACCCATTCAGAAGAAAGGCAACACATATAACCTATACGTTACTATTATTCTACTATTAATATTGTTGTATATTGTAGGACTAGGAGAATAGGAGTTGTATTGAATACAGCTTAATTAAACAGAAAACTAGTAACAGGCCATTTTGAAAAATTAAGGATACCAACACAATACAAAATTGTGTTTATAGCAAAAGCAGAGGGAGGTTTTGTTTCAGAGCTTTTAATAACAGCAAACAACGTTAACCAAAACCATTTCCTTTTTTTTTCTTTTACAATCAAGCAGTACCATCAACACTATTTCCTGTTTTCTTAGACAAACAACAAGGCATTATCACGGTATTTATAAAACTTACACCAAAATTTCTAAATTACAAATTAGAAACCTGATATCAATATAGAGGGGTGAATAGAAGACCGTCTCTAAACAAGAAAAACGTAATGCAAAAATACAAACATTTCACAAATATCAGAAAGTACGATTCTATGTAAGAAATATCAGTAATCCCATTCATTCTTCCTCAAAAACCTCACAAAGATATGTCTTTTTATTTGATTGATATATTCAAATGTTCATATCCAAGATTTCACAAGTTTCTATAAAAAAGATTGTTTTTGTTCTTGATAAAGATGCATCATTCATAAAACCTAAGTGCATAAAAATAAAACCAAATTTTCCATGGCTTTTGGTTTCCAGAAGTTTCATGTGAAAGATTGCAACATTCTGACAGCAGCAATGGAGCTAATGCCCACAGAATTATAGCTTAATTGTTACATACTCAGCTACAAGCAAGGTATTGCTTTATAAGCATTAGATATTGTCAACGATCTAAATGAAAAAGACATTGCATTTTTTATTCATCATAGGTGAAAAGGCTCAATGTGATTTATCGGCAGGGAAAAAATGTTTTCTTTCCATTTTAAGAAATACATGTGACTTATCTTTCAATGGGCACCCAACAACAAAGAGTTGAAACCCTACAGCCACCGGAGAAAACCTTAAGTTGGCAATGTCAACTATGTCACACATACAAGGCGAGAGAGTTCAACTTTTACCCTACAGCAGAGGGAGAGGCAATACCTTATCCTCAGCAAGAAGTGGAAGGTGGAGAAGAATTTCGAGTGGTTCAGTATCAGCAGCCATCACAATGAACTCAGAAATTCCCCTGTTTAGTGTCTTAGTAGCTGAAACGAATTAGAACTGATTACGATTACAGTTTAAAAAACAATCATGTCAAATTGAAATAAAAATGGTGAAATATATAACATCTGACCTTCATTAGCACCCTTTTTAAGCTGCTTATAGTTGGCAGCTTGTGATACAATGTCATGTATTGTTATGGTGAGATCTGTCCCAGCCAATGGATAAGCTTTAGGGTTCACATCTTTTTCTGCCTGTACACATGCACAGATAATAATTATATGTAAAGCAAGATATAATTATCAAGCAACATACATTCATAAACCAATTACTACTAACTAATATATTAATAAAAAAGAAACCCCCAGACTATCTCGCTAATTTCTAAAGTATTTCAGTTAGTAAGAAAAAAAAAGGAATTTATTAGAAAACAAGAGAATGATATCATTTCAGAGAATAACATTTATTCAACAATGTTCTTGAACGAAAGGCAAGCCTAACCATTGGTGGTGTTGAACTGATTACAGGCGCCACCCTAATTCTTCAAAGCCTCCGCCCTAGTTAGCTTTGGACTGACGCTGCTGTCGCTTGAGTTCAGTTCCCACCTTAAACCCTGGAGGGCAAACGATTATCCCTTATATCCCATTCAGATTGAAGGTTAGAACTAGCATATGCAAGCCTTTACAAAAATAGACTTCTATAGTCAGGGGCGTAGCCAGGACCAGGACCGATGTTTATCCTGGGCCAGCTATACACTAAGATTCTAAAAACATCATATACAAATTTTAAAAGCGACAATAGCGTGAACATAATGATTTAAAATGCATTAAAATTCATAGTAATATTTTTAAACAATCTTCTATTATAGAAAAGCAGGAGGAAAATGTGAAGTGTTCCCACTCAAAAACATCACACTCACGGGCCGGGCCGGGTTTGCATTGGGTCAGGTCGGGTTTCTATGTTTTTCCAGGTTTTGAGGCCCAAAATAGTATTGCGTTTAATGTAATTGCCAATATCAAGAAGCAAGGTGTGGGGCTCAATGAAAAATACAATTCATTTAGTGCAAAATTAATGAAGAATGCATGCTGCAGGGGCATTTAATGCACACCTATTAGCCAGAATTCACACATTTATTGCCCACTGTATGATCATAGTTACTGCCTTTGAGCTGTTCTAATTAAAGTTGGTTGCATATAACAAGGCAAATCTACTTTATTCAGATGCTCAAGTACAAATTTATGGGGTACTGGGAGATGTCTATTCAAATTAAAAGAAATTGCATGCCATTGCCCATTGGGTAATTTATCATACATATTGAGAGTAGTTCAAATTTGAAGTATATATATACGGCCAATATAATCAGTTGGGCATCCAGAACAACACACATTTTAGGAAAGGGGATACACTAGAAGCTATTTTCAATGATTAAGAGGTATAATGCATGCTTAAAACTCTTCGAAAATTATGCAAGTAGAACTTCATGTTGTTTTAATAGGGTTCATCTATACTTAACAATAACCAAAGTTGGCAGGAGGCGTTACACACTAACTAGAAGTCGTTTCCAATGATGAAGAGGTATAATATATTCTTTAAACTATTTTTGAAAATTATTCAAATAGAATTTCATGTGTTTTTTAGTTATGTTCGTCTAAGGTTTCCTACTCTTTTGTATTCTCTCAAACAGTTTGATAAACACATATATCATTAGCAAGATTCTGAGAAAGTGTGAAGCAGATATGGCAACAACAAAAGGTAAATATGAAAGACAAAACCAAGACCAATTTGGTATATATTTTTATATACCATAGGGTTTGCAGACTCAAATATTTAGAAGGAAGCAGATAGGCATGTTTTTTAAAAATAGCATATTTTCAGTTAACAATTTACATTGCTTATTACAAAGAAACTAGGAACATTTAGTTCAAACTTTGAATAGTCAGCAATTTATTTTAAAAACAACATGCCTTTGATGGTATTTAGAAGAAAAAGGTAAGCCTTAAAAGATTAGGGGATGAAGATCATACCTGAGAATTTGACCGCGCAATAAATCCTTAATCATAAAATACTAAATCATTTAGATTTGTTTATTAAAACAAATGATTGAAATATTTACAAACTTTATCACAATATATGATATAATTTTGGACTGGGGGATTGAATTCATGCAGTTGTAAAATGGCAATCAAGTCAGAGATCAGAGAAATCAGGTGTATGCAATCAAATCTTTTTGGTGAAGCATTCTGAATGGAGTGCTTTTATTTGAGTTACAGTGAGTATGCATGAACAATGTATCATATGGATTCAATGCACTATGCTTTAGTGTGATATAAGTAAACATCATGAGAACAAAAAGGATATCATAAGTTACAATGTGCAGATGTGTTCATGTATCATAAACATTAATTACTATGAGTATTTTATGTTGATTTGAAAACTTTTTTATTTAAAAATATATTAATAGGGCTTATGTACAGTTACACGCTTTCTGGCCATGGTTTGCGATTGCGCAATGCAATTGCGCCTTATGGCGCGCATCTGCTATTTCAAAGTCTGTGGCGTAAAATTGCATTGCATATGGCGATTGGGTCTGTAGCGTAGATTTTTAACGCTATGGCGTACGCAATATAACATAAGCCATGAGACGTATGTAAGGCGTAGGTTAAATTCTTTAATGGGCAAAGTTAATTTTTGGCCCGCTGGGCCCACTTTTAACGGTTTATGTTATATACGGCCTTCTCATTAAGCCGCTTCTTCCCATTCCATTGTTACGCAATTAGCAGTTCCACCGCCTTCTTCCAGAGTTCCAGTTTGGTCGCAATCAGCAGTTTCTTTTCCTTCCACCGCCTTCTTCCACTTTGTTGGCAATCAAGTATCAACAGATACGGTGAAAGTGTGAACCTCTTCTACCATTCCTCGAATCTGCAGTACTGCCTTATTTCTACGGTGAAAGTTAACATTATTTAATACTCCCTCCGTCCCGTTGGAATGTTCCCGGTTTGACCTACACACATATTAAGGAAATAAACTTACCAGAGGATAAACTGTTTGACACTGTTTCGACAATGTTCGGCACTGTTTCGACACTGTTTTGCACTGTTTTGCACTGTTTGACCCTGTTTTGATGTAGGATAACTTTCCATTTAGGGAAATGGGAACTTTCCAACGGGACATCCAAAAAAGGAAAGCGGGAACATTCCAACGGGACGGAGGGAGTATTAATGTTAATTTTCTGCCTATTAATATTATATGATTTTTCTTCAGTTAAGTTTTCAACTTTCAACAGACCAGTATGTTCTTCAACTCTGTACTGCCTTTTTTATGCTTCTCTGTTTGATGCCTTTTGTTTCTATTCAATTAAACACTAATTAGTAATGTTAATTTTCTGACTATTAATATTTTATTATTATCCTTCGATTAACTGATTAAGTTTCAACTTATGAATATTTGTTTCCAGTTATTATATTTAATGATAACTTCAACACTGTACTGCCTTTTTTATGCTTCTCTGTTTGATGCCTTTTTGTTTCCATTCAATTAAACACTAGATAGGGATGATTCGATTTTTCAATCACCAATCTAATATGTTTAGGATTATTTTAAGACGTTTCAGAAATTTTTGTTATTATTCAGGATTATTTTTCCTAAGATTGTTACACCATTATGATTTGTTTTAATATTGCATTTGCTGGTTTCTCTTTGAATAATGTTTTTTGTTATATATATATATATATATATATATATATATATATATATATATACGCCTCAGCTATACGCCTCAGCTATACGCCTCATTGCGCAATGAGGCTTACGCAATATACAATTCTAAAAACCCGCCATGATTACGCAATACGCAATTACGAACATTGTTTCTGGCCACTGGGCTGTCATGGAATTTGGTTGTCCTAGGGCAAGGCCAAGAATAGCCAGCAAGCAGATGAGTTTTGGTAGTTCAGTATAGTGTAAACAAGAGCAGACTCACAGATTTTCAATAAAGTACAAGGTTTGACAGATTTTATTGAATAAAAGCTTTAGTATTATGCTTTAAGTAGTTTAGGCAGTTCAATTTACAAGCTATTGCTCTAATCTGTAAAGTTAAATGTCATTTTCAACTTATATTATTTTAAGTAAAAACTTTTGGTATAAAAACTTTTGGATGTCAAACTTTTAGAAATTTAAATGTCAATTGGTCATTTAAAAGTCAATTTACAAACTTTTGGACAGTTCAATTTACTGTTTTTTTTCTTAGATAAACTGTTATAGTGACCTTTTAAAAATATATACTTGTATTTACTAACAAAAACTATGGATGAGGTAAGTTTTAAATTAATCTGTTTGAAAAATGTGTAATAGTTATATATTAAAAAAATCTGCATAGATGTATCCAAAATACAATGTCATGTTTTATCTAGGATATAAACGAAGACATCCTATATCACAAAATCTATGGCGGCTAGGTTAAATCCAGAACTTCACAAATGATGGCATTTAAAAACACAAATAGGTATACATCATTTTACAAATTGGCATAAGTTTAGCCATGTAAATGAATCTATTAAATAGGTATTTTGTTGCTACAAAATACAGAAAATATAAATCTGTTGAACATGCAATTTATGGCCAAATCATATGCAACTATACATGTAAGTCATCACAATAAAGAGTGTATGCATGGACAAACTGATAAAGAAATTCAATTACCTAAACGTTCAAGATACTCACAATAAGACGACAAAGATGCAGGGGATAAACCAAAATCACGAAACGATGGTAGACGTGGTTTGAGATTCTTTGGTTTACCTCAGCCAGAATAATGGAACGATACCACACAAATGCACGATGTTCAGCGGAAGAGCAAAGGTTTAACACACGATGAGGCGGCCGAAGGAGGGAGAAGAGTTTAGATATGGCGTGTTAGGTTTAAGATGCTGGGCTGGGTAGATTCAAGATACAGTATTGGGCTAGGCTGATTTAAAGTTTATTAAAATATGGGTATTTTAATTTCAGATCTGAAATGGGCTTTGTGAAATATATACTCCTTCCGGTTCTGAAAGATCTTTACACTTTCCATTTTTAGCAGTACTAGAAAGATCTTTACTCTTCCTTATTTGCCTTATTTGGCAAATAAATCTACACAAAACAGTGTTAAACAGTGTCAAACAGTGCCAAACAGTGTTTATTTCCTTAAAAATTGTGAAGTCAAAGTGTCAAGATCTTTTGGAACCGGAGGGGGTATTTAATTAGGATTACAATTATATTGTTCGATTTTAATTTTTTATTATTATGATTATTATTGTTATCTTTCTATGATTATTATTATATTATTAGGTTTTTTCATGTCTACTGAAATTTTCTGGTCTAAAGTGACTTCAGACTAGAAAAATTCAGACTACAACTACTGAAGTATGGTCTGAATTGATCTGGTATGAATTGAGACTGAAATAAGTCCAAGTAGTAAAAACAGTATAATGTTTCTGATTGTTAATGTAATGATTATTACTAGTGTAAAGCCCAGGCCATGCCCCGGCAGCACATCTATTTGATAAGGGTTAAAATGAAAAATACTATACATACTGTGAATTATATTAGTTATAAAATCCAAATTTGAATATAATGGGTATTTATAATAAACTATTCACGACCAATTATAAACTCGTATTTGTTAAGTGATTATTAAATTATCCATCTATCATATATTATATATTTAGAGCGAGCCCTTTTAGAAACCTCTATTTTCAGCTTATCAATCAATTGTTTTAGTAAACCTAGTTTTTGACTTCATGCGCTAAACTACGTAATAATCATAATGAGGAATGTTGAAGTTGCTTTTTTCCTAAATTAGCTGAAGTTACTACAGAGGACAATTTTAGATATTCTTTTCATTTTATTTTTCTTAATTTGATTAATACAATTATTTTAAATGTAAATTTTCCATTATTTAACAGATTTAATCAATTCAGCTATTTCATCCAAAATTTCATACGGTGTGGATTAATTTTACGTTCGAACGAAATAAGAAAAAAAATAGATTGTTGTTGCAACCTTGATGCGGTTTGATGTGACCCGTTGTTGCCTCATTGTGACCATGTTGCGGTTTTGTTAAATGTGAATTTTCCCCATGGATCGAAATATATATCACTGCCATTGTGCCCGATGCGGTTGCGCTATGGAACGCACCCACAATATTGCGATCATAACTCGTGTTTCGGTTCACAATTTAAAATCTGATGGATAGTGTACCCGGGGGGTAGCTTATCCGAGGGGTTATTGCGGAGAATAACTAGAGAGAAGTCAGAGCAAATAAGTAAGAGAGAGTGTATATTCGATATGTATTCAGCGTGGTTTACAATGGGGGAAAGGGGTGCTATTTATAGTAGTAATAAATGACAGATAAGGACACGTGTCAGTTTTCTGGTGGTCGAGGGGTCACCTCAACCGGGGTGGCACTGACACTCGCATGTGGCCGCATTAAATGCGGTGGTTGGATGTGACGTTTGTACTTGGTACGGTGATCCAGGCGCATGTGAAGAGGATATTCTGTCGAGGTGGATGCCTTCGGCTGAAGGGTGCCGGGTCGAAGGCTCTTCTAATCGAGGGCTCCTACCTGCCGAGGGTTGTAGGTGCCGAAAGCTTGGTTTTCAAGCCTTGTTCTTCTGTGATGCCTCTTCTAACCGAGGGCTCCTACCTGCCGAGGACTGCAGGTGCCGAAGGCTTGGTTTTCAAGCCTTGATCTCCTGTGATGCCTCTTCTAACCGAGGGCTCCTACCTGTCGAGGGCTGCAGTTGCCGAAGGCTTGGTTTTCAAGCCTTGTCCTCCTATGATGTTTCTGAGCTTGATTCCGTCACTGGTAGCCTTCGGCCATGGGGCCGAAGGCACCCCTTTGCGTATTGTGGGCTGCTTAGAGCTCCATTTTTTCGGGCTTGGCCCGTTTGGGCCTGTTGGGCCTGATTGTAGTAGAGGAAGTATGTGGGTCGGGGGTCCCTGGGCCATATACTCCATCAGGAGTCCCCCACTCCTTTTGCCGAAAGGTACTTGAGGGAAAAGGAGTAGCTGTGGTGATTTCCCCGAAGGCTTCCCTGTTCTGTTGGGTGCCTCATTTTCTCAATTCCCCCATATGTCGAGGGCTGAGAGCTTCCTGAAGGGAGTGTAAGTGTGTTGCTCGTATGTGTTTCTTTGTTGTAGTTTGTGAAGTAATGAGAGATCTGCATTTGTGTGCTTTGCAGAGGGCATTTGTTGACTGAAGGCTTTGTGTGGCCGAAGGCATCATGTGGCCGGAGGCATCATGTGGCCGAAGGCATCATGTGGCCGAAGGCATCATGTGGCCGAAGGCATTGTGTGGCCGGAGGCATCCTGTAAGCCCAAAGCATCATGTCGAGGGGAGTAGATTGCCGTTGTGATCTTGCCTCAGCTTGCTGTAGCTGAGAAATAGAAAATTTTTAACATTTGCGTGTTTTGCCGAGGGGAGTCCCCCAGTCCCCCACTCCTTTTGCCGAGAGTTTCTCGAGGGAAACAGGAGTAGAGTGATGCATGCCTTCAGCAGGAGCCGCCGAGGGGTGACGCCTTTTGTTCCACAATGGGGAGATGCCTCGTTAAAAACCTCATTAGGAAAAAACCCTGTGGGAAAAAAAATCCTAATGAGGGAAAAAGAGTACACCGGATGCCCCCAGAATGAAGCAAAAGGAATGCACCCTTCGGCCTAGATTTTTGAGCGGTGGTTGTGTCCGTCTACTGAGGGGATATCGAAGACCAGCCTTAGATCCTGTATGAAAAAGCTGAGGAGCTTGTAAGGACCCCCCGTTATCAAATAAAGGTGACGGAGGGGTGCAAGGCCAGGTGGGCCTGTGTGATAGCCCCTGGCATCAAATACAGATGTCGGAGGGATGGAGATCGAGGGGCCTGTGTGATTGCCCCCGACATCAAATAAATATGTCGGAGGGGTGAAGGCCGAGGGCCTGTATGATAGCCCCTGGCATCAAATAAAGATGTCGAAGGGATGAAAGCTAGGTTGAGGGGCCTGTATGACAGCCCCTGGCATCAAATAAAGATGCCAGAGGGATGAAGGCCGAGGGACCTGTGTGATTGCCCCCGACATCAAATAAAGATGTCGGAGGGATGAAGGCCGATGGGCCTGTATGATAGCCTCTGGCATCAAATAAAGATGCCGGGGGGATGAAGGCCGAGGTACCTGTGTGATTTCCCCCGACATCAAATAAAGATGCCGGAGGGATGAAGGCCGATAGGCCTGTATGATAGCTCCCGGCATCAAATAAAGATGCCAGAGGGATGAAGGCCGAGGGACCTGTGTGATTGCCCCCGACATCAAATAAAGATGCCGGAGGGATGAAGGCCGATGGGCCTGTATGATAGCCCCCGACATCAAATAAAGATGTCGGAGGGATGAAGGCCAAAACCATTATGACATAGGGTCATGTTGAGGCCGAGGGCCGTTGGTGATGTGAGATCACGCTAAGGCCAAAACCATTATGACATAGGGTCATGTTGAGGCCGAGGGCCGTTGGTGATGTGAGATCACGCTAAGGCCAAAACCATTATGACATAGGGTCATGTTGAGGCCGAGGGCCGTCTGATGTTGAGGCTGAGGGCCATTGTGATGTCCTCACGCTGAGGCCGAGGGCCGTTGTTGATGTTGAGGCCGAGGTCCGTTCTTATGCTGAGGTCGAGGGCCGTTGTTGATGTTGAGGCCGAGGGCCGTCTGATGTTGAGGCCGAGGGCCATTGTGATGTGGAATCACGCTGAGGCCGAGGGCCGTTGGTGATGTTGAGGCCGAGGGCCGTCCTTATGTTGAGGCCGAGGGCCGTTGTTGATTTTGAGACCGAGGGTCGTTCTGATGTTGAGGCCGAGGGCCATTGTGATGTGGAATCGCGCTGAGGCCGAGGGCCATTGTTGATGTTGAATCACGTTGAGGCCGAGGGCTTTTGGTGATGTGAGATCACGCTAAGGCCAAAACCGTTATGCCAAGGCCGAGGGCCATTGGTGATGTTGAGGCCGAGGGCCGTTGTGGTGTGGAATCACGCTGAAGCCGAGGGCCATAGGTGATGTGAGATCACGCTAAGGCCAAAACCGTTATGACATAGTGTCATGTTGAGGCTGAGGACCGTCTGATGTTGAGGCTGAGGGCCATTGTTGATTTTGAGACCGAGGGCTGTTCTGACGTTGAATCATGCCAAGACCGAGGGCCATTGGTGATGTAGAATCGAATTGAGGTCGAGGGCCTTTCCTTGATAGTTCCGGGAGTCCTTCGGGTGTATGTTCCTTCTTTCAGGCATCGACCGAGGGGGTTGATTCCCCGCCTCGGCCCAAAGGGGGTCCAAGTGATCCGTCCGGGGGTTCGTCTGTTAGTCCCCCAGCGCTGGGCTGTCCCTTGATTGTTCCAGGAGGTCGTATGTTAGTCCTCCTGATGTGTGTTCCTTCTTTCAGGCTTCGGCTGAGGGGGTTGCTTCCCCGCCTCGGCCGGAAGGGGGTCCAAGTGATCCGTCCGGGGGTTCGTCTGTTAGTCCCCCGGCGCTGAACCGTCCCTTGACCTTGGGGGGTCTCGTCGTCTATTTACGGCGCGGGCTAGGCTTGGTCGGTTTCCGACGACTGCCGTTTCACCCCCAATTTTGGGGATTTCGTCACCTCAGCCATTCTTTCAGGCCTGTCGCCGTGCGTTGCGCGCCAGCGACGCGGCGAGCGTCCCGCTCCAAAAACGCGGGCCTTTTGCAGGCCCCTCGTCTTTAGACACCATCAGCCATACCTGGGCATTTGGCCTCGAAGGGGCCGATAAGATGTCTGGATTGTGTTGTAGTTTACTTAAATTCATAGAAATAAGCGGAACACAAGGGGTGCGTTGTTTGACAACGGCTTTGTTAAGATTCACCGCTCAAGGCCGAGGGCTCTAGACCGAGGGGATGATAATGTGCCTCGAGGTCGAGGGACCATGGCTGAGTCTA